TAGCCCTTAAATGGGGAGGGAAACACCGCTGAAATGGGGGAAAAACACAGCTTAAACGGGGGAAAAAAAACCACAGTTTAAATCAGGGGAAAAGCACCAGTAAAAGGGGGGAAGAAAAGCCACAGTTTAAATCGGGGGGAAACCACCGCTTAAATGGGGAGGAAAACACCGCTTAATTGACAGTAAAACCACCGCGTAGATGAGGGTAAAAACACCGCTTCAATGGGGTAGAGGGTGAAAGTCTCCGCTTCTAACTCGATCCTTTTTTTGCTGCTTTGGAAATAGCTTTTCGTGGGGCAAAACGCCCCTGATTTACCCCGCAAAGGGGCTGCGGAGCCGGGGCCTAAACCGCAGCAGCGGCGGCACGATTTGGCCCATGCCAAAATGCTGAAAAACCCGTAATTTTTTTTATTTTTTTTTTTTTTTCCTTAAGCTAGGAATAGCCGGGGGAGAGAGCCGGAGCCGGCCGGGGAAACCGCCGCTGCCAACGAGCGCAGCCCTTTGGCGAGCAGGAACTTTTTAGGAGCCGGGAATCCTTTTTTAGGAGCCTGGGGGGCCGAGGAGGGGGGGGATTTGCCTTCCCCGGGGTGCGGGAGGCCGGAGCCGGCTTTCCTCCGCAGAAAAGAAAAAAAAAAAAAAAAAAAAAAAACAAAAACAAAAACTCCGCACAAACTTTCGGGCCTTTCCCGGGAGGGACCGCGGCCGGGACCCCCCCCTCTCCCCTGCCGGCCCTGCCCGGTCCGGATCCGGCCCCTTCCCGGGCGGTGCGGGGGCTGCCGCTTTCCCCAGGAACTGGAGCGGGGTCTCCGTGTTTTAAGGCTCGTCCCCGGCTCGGGCTCTGCCTGCTCGGCCAGAGCCGGGATTTCTGGTTGAAGGGTTTCGCTCCCCGGTGGCTCAATTAACCGGATTATTGTCTTCCTACAGAGAGAAATCAACTCGCGTTCTGCTACAGCCCTGTCCCTGCTAACCCCCGCCACCAGCAAATTTAACATAAACCCCCGTAAAAAAAAAAACCAAACGCCGCCGATTTGTATAAACTGAGCCTTTTTGCCACATAATCTCCTCCAGGAGCGTGGGGAAGGCGAGCACAAACAGGGATTATTTTCCCCCCACCCCACTTTCTTTTTTTTTGTTTTTTTTTCCTGTTCGGAAATTTTCCCGTCACCTACTAATGTTTCACGGCGCAAATTCCCGCGTCGCTCTGCCGGTGCGTATGTACCGACCGGGCTAAGGAACGGCCGCCAGCCCGTCTCATTCGGTATTTTTTAAGATAAATAACAGCCCGGGCACGGGCTGGCGGAGCCCCTTCCCCAGGATTTCGTTGTGCGCCCTGGAGAAGGGAGATTTGTTCCGTGCCCCGGCAGCATCCCCGGGAGGACGGAGGTTTCTCCGCGGAGGGGGAGAAGCAGCATCACCCCGGCGACTTTCTCCTCCAAAAAAATGTGGGTTGACAATTTTCATTTGGGGTTGTTTTTTGGTTTGATTTTCAAAAAACAAAAAAAAAAAGAGAGAGAGAGAGAGAAAGGAAAGAAAAAAAATACATATCCAAGCATCGAGAAAGGTGTTGGGCTGGGGAGAAATACACCCAGAGCAGGGTCCTGCCCCGTGAGAAATGAGGGGTGAGGGAGATGCCGGGGGTAGGGGGGCGTCTGGGCAGGAACGCGGCGGGGCCGGGGGGGTCCCCGCAGCACTGCCCGGCGCTCCAGCCCCACTCCCAGGCCCTAGGGACGGGGAAAGGCCGGGCCCGGCTCGGGAACCCCATGAACCCCCCGTGGGCAGCCGGGGTTAAAATTTCGGGGGTTGCAAAGCAAATGCACCCTGAGCCCGGCTCGGTACCTGAGCCCGGCTTACGGCTGAAGTGGGTTACCCCCCTCCTCCCCGCCACTTTTGAGGGGATTTCCCTTCCCTTCCTGCCCTGACCTGGCCTCTTTTCCTCCCTCCCGGCCCAGTGAAAGAAGAAGGGGACCGAGAGATCTCCAGCTCCCGGGACAGCCCCCCGGTACGGCTGAAAAAGCCGCGCAAAGCCCGCACCGCCTTCACCGACCATCAGCTGGCCCAGCTGGAGCGCAGCTTCGAGAGGCAAAAATACCTGAGCGTGCAGGACAGGATGGAGCTGGCCGCTTCCCTCAACCTCACCGACACGCAGGTGAAAACGTGGTACCAGAACAGAAGGTAAAAAAAATGCACCGTTCCCTCCTGCCCACAGCGCCGGGGTCCCATCCTGCTCCTCTCCCCGGCCCCGCACCCCCAAACCGGGCAGGGCTTTTGCTCCCTACAACCATCCCGTCCCTCCTGGCATCGGGAGAGGTGCGGTACCCCCCCTCCCCACCCTGGGTGGGCCTTTCACCCCAAAGTAAGGGGGAGAAAAGTGATGCCGAGGCAGGGCGGGTTTGGGGCGGGGGGTGCGATCCGTTCCCCCAGCCCCGGTAAGGCGGGGAGGCAGGACCGGGCTTCCAGCTAAATACAACAGCATAACACATCGGCCCATTAATAATAGATACCAATTACTGCTTTGGGCATCAATAATTAACACCCCTTACAGTAATTACACAATTATTATTATGATGAATAATTTACTGGTGGAAATAGGTTTAGCGCTTCAGCGACAAATCTGTAAAAGGGCTGGAGACGTGTGATGGCTTCAGTGGATTTATCCGGACATCCCCGTCGGCGCTTCCCCAGCCCCGACCATTGCCACCGCCTCGAAACGAGGGACCCCCGGCTGCAGCCCCCACCCCGTCCCCTCGCTCACCCCAAGTTTTAACCCTCCCTCCCCCTCCTTTCCAGCCCCGCTTCGCCATCTGCAAACAGCCGCGATTTATCAACACGTCGGGGGGGTTGGGGGAGTTTAGGGGT